TTAATATAAGCGTATATTAAAATTTTAAATATAAATTTCTTTAAAGCGCCAACTAAAATTCGAGCTTTTTAGAATTAGGTATAAATAATTCAAATGGTCAACTGAAATTTAGCTAAATTTTGAATTTAAACTATTTTTTTAGTTTAAATATTTAAAACAAAATTTCTGAAAACTACTGTAGAATAATACTTGGGGGCTACTCTATCAGTCTTTTCCATTTGAAGTTGTACGGTTGAGAACTGATAAAGTATTAGTTGGAACGAAATTGATCCAAATTGATTGATTTGGGATAATACTTGCTAATAAATCTAAAATAGTCAACAATTCAAAACTGAATATAATAAACTTAATGTTGCTTGAAATCAAATAAAAAATAATGACTGTAGTTAGTAATTTATTACGGCTCGTATCAGTTTTTTTGAAGTTTTTGTCACTATAAATGGTTTTATGTTTAATCCTTTATTTTATATTTAGTATATGGGGGTGTTTTTATTGACTTTATCACTTTTTCCATCTTTTAAGCGCTATCTGAGTGGAAAAATTGTTAGTGAAATTCTTGAACCCAAAAATATATCCACATATTATTTATAATACTATTAGCAAGGTCTTATCTGTCATTGACATTTACAAGATAGTATTTCCAATAGCCATCCTAATATTAAAATCCTAAGAGCATTCAACTTTAGTTTTTTCTGTAAGTTATATGATATCGTTTAGTTAATTTTAGTATTTAAAATAAGGATTACTAGGAGAGCTTACCACAGATTACTCTAATATTGTATGGTGTTTTTCTTCACTTTCCCCATCTTTTAAGCGCTATTTGAGCGGAAAAGTTTTTTAGCAAAATTCTTAAACATAAAACATATCCCGATATGCTGTATCTAACATTAATTTATACTTATTGATCTTTACAAATTTATTTCCAGATTAAATTAATGGCAGAAAAGCTTGATTCCAAAATAGTTCATAAATATCCATCATAAGTGTCGAAGGGCTAATAAAAAGGATATTTGGCCAATCACTATAGTTTCTTATATTTTTATGTCTATAATGAACTTTATATTAGCTTTAACTACTATAAAGATCTATTTATTGTCTTGTCTCCGTACTAAAATGCTAGCATTTCAATTTACATATATAGGGATGTATTTTTGTGTTTAAGAATTTTATTAACAATCTTTCCGCTTAAGTAGCGCTTAAAAATGGAAAAAGTAATGAAAAAAACATCACCATATATTATGAATAACGTTTCCTCATTTTTATATATATGGAGATGTATTTTTGTGTTTAAGAACTTTACTAATAATTTTTCCACTCAAATAGCGCTTAAAAAATGGAAAAAGTAATGAAGCCAAAAAAACATCCCCATATCTTAACCCACATAAATTTCACAAAAAATATTAATGAGAAGGGAGACATTGATGAACCTCTATTTTAATAATATATTATATATTTCTACTCTGATGCTTTACCTTAATAGCTTTGTTCTCAAACATTTATATAATGGAAAGTTGAACTTATCAAAAGTTGATTAAAATAATATTGATAAATTAATCAAAACAACTAATAAAATCATTAAAATAAAAAGTAAATAAATAGATTGGTTGATTATATTCAATAGGTATAGTCATTTTAATTATTTAAAAGTGCTTGGCAAATCAAGTGTAAGTTGTTAAAAACTGATATTGTATAGAAATTGGCCTTACTAACATAGAAGAATACATACTCGATTTTATAATTTATTTTGCTTGTTTTATATTTAGAAATAATTTAATGCTGTATAATTCACTTTTATATATATAAATTTAATAATAAAGAATCAATTTTTTAACATAAATTAAAAATGGCCAGTATCAGTTTTTTATTAAATTTAAAACTAACAGAGTTATGTAATAAAATGTATTTTAAAATCAAAATTGATAATGTTTAAAGAAATTCGTCTATACTCTTATATTTCTACTTACAAAAAATTGTGTAATTAGATTTCGAATTTCAATATATTTGAAAACAGGTTTCTCAGAATGTTAAACAAGTTAATAAAATGAGATAACTAGAGAGTACAAACAATATTAAAAAACATCACTATCTAATATAGACTTTTGATATACCATACATATTGTTATTATGGTTCAAAGATATAATTCACTATTGATTGTTTTCACTTTGATATTAGTAGTGTGTAACAAAATAACGTAAGCTCATGTATTGAGTTACCAGCAGTTCCAATATATGAAACTCACGATTGAGCTAGTCAAAATTTAATTTAAGTCTTTATTAATGCTAATGATGGGCTAAATATATACCAATAATTATCATATTTATAGATATAGCTCAAAGTTTTGCATATGTTCATATGTAGCTCTTAGGCTACATTCAAAATGAAAATATAATACTTTAAAATAGATCAAAGCTAGAAGATAAACCAAAAATGTTATCCTTTAATGAGTTTTGAAAATAGATTTGTTTAAGATAAAATAAAGTAAACTTTAGTTAATAAAGAAGCAGCTTAAAATAGTATACTATAGTGTTGTTAATCATCATCATCCCAGTCATCATCTTCATCTTCATCATCTAAAAATTAATATATTAAAATAGTGTAACTTTTGTTTACTTATAATCTTACCTGAAACCAGATCCTTTTGCCTTGTACTTAAAATATTTTTTAATGCAGACGCAATGTCATCTCCACCAGGGGGTGGTAATGCACTAGTCGAGGTTGGTGGCGACAATGTAGACGCCCTTGGAACTGAATCCACCTAGATAATATGAGTTATATGTAAAATTTATATCAGATTATTACCTTTTTCAACGTAGCACCTGCACGTATACTTTCAAGCAATAAATTACGACCCCCTTGTGGAGGTGGTAAGCTGGACGTTACATTGCCGTTACTTGGAGCTGGAGGAGGAGGAGGGGGGCCGCCCATTGCTGGCATTGGAGGAGGGGGAGGAGGGCCACCCATTGCTGGCATTGGAGGAGGGGGAGGTATATTAGTATTAGGTGCTGAATTCGTGACTGGTAGTGGTGGTGGTGGTGGTGGCGTTGGGGAAGAGGATCCTTGTAATGGTGGTGGCGGTGGTGGCAGGGTATTAATATTGTTTATTGGCCTATCGGATGTGGCACTGTTAGGTGGTGAGCGGAAACTCTTAGCCATTGGTGGTTTTTGGTTAGGTAGAGAGGGTCTCTGACTATTTGGCTTTGGTGGTGGTTTACTTGATGGTAATGGAGGCTTTTGACCCGGGAGCGATGGGCGTTGAGACGTTGGTAATGGAGGAGGCTTGTTAGAGGGAACCGAAGGAGGAGTCCGTGATGGTGTTGTTGAGCGATTTGGTAATGCTGGCGATGATTGCTTAGGAATTGGTGGAGGTAAATGGTTTTGTTGTACTGGTGGTGGTGGAGGTAAGTGATTTTGTTGTACTGGTGGTGGTGGAGGTAAGTGATTTTGTTGTACTGGTGGTGGTGGCCCTTTTGGGGGTTGTGTAATAACAGGTTCAGATGGTAAATTTATAGCTGCTTTTGGCTTTGGTTTATTCGAAGCAGGAGGTGGAGGCGGGGGAGGTCTCCCTAGTAATTATTTGAATCAATAAGGCTATAAAATAAAATAAAATTACTTTGCTTGTTACTATTCATTGAAGAAACTGGAGCAGGAGCAGGCGTTGGGGTAGTATTGCTTGGTTTCTTTTTATTTTCTAATGATTTATTCACGTTTGATATACCTCCATTTGCTTGAACGAAATCAACCATTTTTTGCATAGTAGCGGTATCTTTTAATGCTTCTTGCTATAGTTAAATTTAAATAGAATTCATATTAACAATAAAACTATGGATTACTTGAGCTGCACCATCATAGCCCAACTCCTTAAAAAGTTTTTTCCATTCTGGGTCTTGGTGATAACCCTAGCAATAATAAGATTAAATTTGAAATTTTGCAGTAAATACTTACAGAAAACCCAGCATTGGCATCATAGCCAAGGTGTCCTAAATGCCTTTAATTTTATTGTCATTATCAAATTTATAAAATTTAGTAATAAACTTACTTGAAGTCCATTGGTTTACCAATTAATGTTTTATCGATCCTTCCTTTAGTTTTGGATTTCGATGAGCCGCCAAAAAATGAGAATCCTTTGTCATTTGAACTCTCTTAATAAATGTAAGTATTATTCCATTATCTTTGATTGATTTTTACTTGATTTTTTCTTTTTCTTAGCGTTTTCTTCACGTGAATGCACCTTTTTATAAAAAGTTGAAGCTTCATTTTCATCAGCAAATGATAATCCAATTACATAATTCTATAATAGTTAACTTAATAAACAAAGGGTTTATATTGATGTTAGCTTACTTGATTACTAAAAGTATGGAAAAATGGCTTATCATCGTTATAAACGAATCTATCAGGTATTTCGTATTCCCAAATGATACCTTTATTGGACTAAAAATAAGCTATACTTTTAACATACCCTTTTAATTATTTTTACCTGTAAATCAACAACCCTAAAAAAGAAACTAGACTTTGTTTTATCTAATACTAATGCGATTGCACCGAAAATATTGGTATAGCTCCAATTGTTGGGCTCGGGATGGGCTTGATATAATCGCACTACAGTTGCAGCAAGTATTTTCTAAAATAAAAAAATAAATATCATATCGAAACACTGGGTCCTCTTAGTTACATTATTGGATGAAGGGACATGCTTTTTAATCAGTGCCTTATCCTCAGCACTAGCCAAGGTAATTGAAGGCATTTATTTTTATGTTCCACTTTAGTCAAAATATTTAAAGATGAATTTTTTTTGCTAAGCTTTGTTTTTTATGACCACATTTCTTGCTATTGGCTCTTTTCCTTGGCAAATTTCAGAATGTTGGTTTTAAATAGAAAAATAAATTTGACATTTCAGATTATACTCTCCAATGACATCATATTAGAAGATTCTACAAACAGCTTGCACTATCATTTCATAACAAAAAAGTAATTTAACTTATCACACAAAAAGTTATTATGTTGCTCCCTGTGGGGATCGAACCCACGACCTTGAGATTATGAGACTCACGCGCTGCCAGCTGCGCCAAAGAAGCTTGTACTTGATACTTTTTAATATTTATAATTTACCATAGCAATTTGCAACTTTTTTTTCGAAATTTAAGATTAAACTTCTTCATTTTTAAATTTAAAGAAAATTTGTTATTTAAAAAATGGGTAAAAGGGTAATAAATACTTTGATCGTTTATTTTAATATCCTTAACTTTACTACTAGAAAGGAAAGAAAACTAGAACTCATGTTGCTCCAGATGCTGAAGAAGTCAAGAAAATTCCTAAGAGTTTTGTCATAAAATCAGGAAATGTTGGTAATACTGTAGCAGCCTTAGTAAAAGATGTTCGAAAAGTGATGGAACCTAATACAGCAACAAATCTCAGAGTAAGCTATATAAGATAAATCTGTAATCAATATTAACGTTATCAAAGGAGCAAAAAAGAAATAAGTTAAAAGATTATTTACAAGTTGCTGGTCAATATGGGGTTTCACATATGATGATTTTTACTAGAACGGATATGGGAACCTATTTGAAAGTAGGACGTATACCTCGTGGACCAACTTTAAACTTTAGGGTCATGAACTATTCATTAACTAAGGATATAGTTAAATTCCTAAAAAAGCCAAAAACTTTGCCCTCTGATTATTTGACACCACCATTGGTAATTTTGTTCAAAAGATTAAGGCTTTTAACTTATTGTTTTTAGTTAGTATTGAATAACTTTGGTGAAAAACTTCCGAATGTAAAGTTAGTTACAGCTATGTTTCAAAACATGTTCCCAGCTTTAAATGTCCAAAAGATGCAGTTGAATGAAGCAAAGCGTGTTTTACTTTTAAATTATAACCAAGATACCGGTTATATCGATTTTAGGCATTATTCCATTTCTGTGAAGGTAACTGGTATTTCAAAGGGGATAAAAAAGATTATTCAAGCCGAAATTCCATCCTTAGGGAAATTTGAAGATATTTCTGAATATGTTGTTCGGTACTTATATATTTGATTACCTTACTTTATTTTAATATGTTTAAGCGAATCAATTGCTGCAGAATCGGATTTAGAAGATGGCCCAGAAAACCAAATTACTTTGGATCAAGGTCATACGGGGCGTAATAGCCAAAAATCTCAAAAAAGGGTCATTAAACTTACTGAACTTGGCCCGAGAATGGAGCTTGATTTGGTAAAAATACAAGCGGGCTTACTCACTGGACAAGTTTTATACCATAAATATAGTAAGAAACCTTTAATTCCATTTAAGAAAATTATTTACCAATTTTTAAGTTAAAAAGACAACATCTGAAGTCGAAAAACAAGAAAAAGAATTCAAAACTAAGCAAGAAGGTTTAGAAGCTCGTAAAAAGGAACAAGAACTTAATATTAAGAAGAAAAAAGAAGCAGCAGAAGCTCATCGTATTGCTTGCGGTGCTCCTTTGAATAAGGATGAAGGTATTTTTATAATTTCAAATTGTAATAAGTTAATTAATAAATTGATTTTAGTTAAAGATGAATCAAATGACGAAGATGATGTTTTGGACCAAGATGATATAGTAGATGATGGAGATTTAAATGAAGATGATTTATTTGATGAAGATAATGAAAGTATAAAATCAGAAAATGAAAGTGTTAAATCTGAAGATGACGAGGTTTATATTAAAACAGAAGATGAAGATGAAAATCTATCTAATGGAAATGATCCTGTTCAGGATGATGATTCAGACGTTGAGATCAAAGAAGAAGAGCCAGGTATTTATATTTATTGAAAATCAAAATCAATCTAATAGTAATTTTAGAGCCCGTGTTAAAAAAGAAGAGAAGCAAATAGTTCATCAAATCTTCATGCTACCACGATATTAAGTAAGGATGGGTTATAAGATAGAGTTAAATTAAACAAATAGAATTGACAGTTGACTTTTAATTTTATATCTTTATTATACTATGCTGAATATTTTTGAAACCTGGGTATACTGTGTTTAATAGAAATGATTTTAATTTAAATCATACTATTTATTATAAAATATCTATTTGATGTAAAAACAAAGTAAATCGTATTGAATAGTTGCTATTGTTTCTTTAGATTTTGAAATATAAAAAATAATTTGTTCTTGATGCTGAATTTTTATGAAAATTAAACTATTAAAAAAACTATATTCATCTAATATAATATAGCAGCTTAAGCCATATACAACTATTAATACCTGTTTATTTAATAATTTGAATTTAAAATGACAGTTTATTAAAGCTGAATAACCAAATTTATTTAGATTGTTGGTTATTTAAATAATTTCCTCCTCGTCTGAAACGCTTGCAGTTTTTTTTAAAACATTTTTCATATTATAATGCGAGCGACGCATTTTTTCGAAGCGTTCATGTGCTTCTAAGTCGACTTTAATAAACTTTAGAATTTGATATTTACATTAATAACTAACCTTTGTCTTCAACACTTTCTTCTTCCTCATCAGTGTCCCATTCATCTTCAGCCAATACTTTTACTTTACTTTCTTTTGGTAGTATTGATTCATGAAAATATACCTCTTCTAATGCTGGTGGTTGTATACTTAACTCAGGCATATCTTGAAAATAAAAACTTAGAGCTCAAACCCTTTATAGATTAATTTACCGTCATCCGAATCAGGTGGCATAGTTCTAACAAAAGGTGTTTTTGGCTCATCAATTTTCATTGTTGAGTCACGTTGATCTTCATTTAGCTTTAAATTAACTTCATCCCAGGTAAGTCTAAAATCCTTTAGATTAAGGCTTAAATAACAATTCTTTTACCTTGAAGTAGCTTCATCGTTTACATTTACCTTTTTTGGGATAACTCCACTTTGTTTTAATATTCCTTTTGGTTTATTTTGTTTTTCTGACATTTCAATTTTATTAATAGATGGAAGCTAAAAATTGGTTTTATGATATAGGCTTTACCCAATCAAAACGCAGAAAATGTAAAAAGTGATACTTTAGTAAAATAAAACGTGCCCCAAGAGTGGCTAAAACTATATTATCTTTTTTCAAACATTTTAACTAGTAGTCTGACTATAACAATTTAAAATGGTTGAATCCTCTTTGTTTCGTTCAGAGGTGATGTCTCTCATCCAGATTTATATCCCTTTTGAACTTGCGCATACTACTGTGTCCCGTCTTGGAGAACAAGGTGAAATTGAATTCATCGATGTAAGCCATTATAAAAAAGCTATTTTCTTAACTAATTATATATAAGTTAAATCCAGAAGTAAACGCTTTCCAAAGAGCTTTCATTTCTGAAATTCGTCGTTTAGATGAACTTGACAGAAAACTTAGTAAATTTTTATAATTAAAAAGCGGAACTTTATTAAAATAGAATAGGATTCTTTGCTTCTCGTGTTGAAAAAACTGATACCCCTATTGCACCTTTACCTGAATTTGGGTTACATACAAAAATTCGTTCAGCACAGGACATAGAAGAACTCGAATCTACAATCAACACACATGATTCAAGATTAACTGATTTGATTGCCAGTTATGAAGATCTCCAAAGAACTTCTTCAATCCATCATGAACGTAGACATGTATTAATTGAAAGCGCCAAATTCTTCCGTGATGTATTAATTATTAATATTAAAAAATTCAACCTAAATATTTATAGGCCATTTCTAACCAAAGCAGAATTAGAAGATCCTTTGATGAAAGCTCTGCTCCACTTTTAGATGATAGTCATGACACTGAGAACCTTTTAGGCGGGAACGAATCAAAGTAAAGCTATTGCGCTCTATTCAATTTTATCTAACATTTTATTAGTTCATCTCGCCCAAGTGCCATTAATCTAAAGTATACTTCTATATCTGATAATTTTGAAAAAACTAACAATATATAGTTTTGTAAGTGGTGTCATCCCACGTGCAAGAATGGCTACTTTTGAACGTATCCTTTGGCGCTCTTTACGCGGTAATCTTTACCTCAACTATGCTGAAATCGAAGAACCAGTTATTGATCCAGCTACTGACGAGCCAGTTAGCAAAAACGTTTTTATCATTTTTGCCCATGGTACTGAAACTACAAACAAGATTCGTAAGATCTCCGAGTCATTAGGTGCCACTCTTTACTCTATTTCCGACCATCCAGATGCTCGCCAACAGCAACTTCAAGAAGTCGAAACAAAAATCGAGGACTTAGACCGTGTTTTATTTAATACTTCACATGCTCGTAAATTGGAATTAGCTAACATTGCTGAAGATTTAAGTGTATGGCAAACAGTTGTTAAAAAGGAGAAAGCTATTTACCATACTCTCAATTTCTTTAACTACGACAATAATCGTCGATGCTTGATTGCTGAAGGTTGGTGTGCCACAAATGATATTGATTCTATTCAATATAACTTAAAAGCTTCTGGTGTATTTGTTTTATTTTTATTTTTTCGTTATACTAACGTTGCTATTAGGATTCCGAGTCTTCTCTTTCTCCTATTTTACACGAAGTTTCTACTACAAAAGAGCCACCTACCTACCACCGTACCAATCGTTTTACTTTAGGATTCCAAGAAATTGTTGATTCCTATGGTATGGCGGATTATGGTGAGGTAAATCCAGGTCTTTTTACCGTTATTTCTTTCCCTTTCCTTTTCGCTGTCATGTTTGGTGATCTTGGTCATGCTTTAATCATGACTGCTGTTGCGTTATATATTGTTCTAAATGAAAAAACCCTTGCCAAACTTAAAAGTGAAGAAGTAAGCTTTTTTTATAATTTATCCTTATATATTTATTTATGTAATAGTTTTCAATGTTCTTTGGTGGTCGTTATATAATTTTGCTTATGGGTATATTTTCTATCTTTACTGGGTTGATTTATAACGATATTTTCTCTGTTTCAATGACGCTATTCAAATCTGGTTGGGAGTATCCTGGACATAAAGAAGCCGTCATGGTAGTTGCTGAAAAAATCGGTGTTTATCCTTTTGGTTTAGATCCTGCTTGGCATGGAGCTGAAAATGCTTTAATTTTTACCAATTCGTATAAAATGAAAATGTCGGTAATTTTCGGTGTTGTTCAAATGACTTTTGGTGTATGTTTAAC